AAAACCAATCATATACGAAGGCATTAAAATATATAGCCACCTACCCTTACACCTAATGACTATTAACTCTTTCAAAAAATTTCGAAAGTCTATTATGGAAGCACTAGTTGATAGAGCTTACTATAGTTTGAAGGGGAGTACTTTTCTGAGATCTGCTAGAGTATTTCTGTACTGTTTCGTTCATTTATATGACTCGACTTTATAGATTGAGTCAAACTTATTTATTTTACACCAAAAAGAATAAATGACAGAGAAAATATTGAAAAGTCATTCGAGGTAAATATTATTTACCTTTATTATTATTTTTTTTATTTACAAACTGACTTTGTGAGTTGAATGAAATTTTGTCAACAAGATATGAGAATAAAGTATAAATTCTCTCTCTCATTCTCTCACACATTTACATGCAATCACATTGAGAATGCAACGCACGGGAATGCAGTCATCATTGGCTTGGGAATATTATGAACACTTTTCATCCAACTCAGCTTACTATTAACAGATTCAGTTAAAAAGGTCCAGCCCAGTTATACCAATTACTTGGTAACAGACTCATAATGCTTATACATGTTCGTTATATTTGAGTTATATCAGTTTATCTAACTGCTCCTTCATAGAGCATAGAGATAGAAAAGCTACACTAGTAGTTGCATAAGCTGACCGTTGATATTTTTTGGTCGCTTCTTTATCAGTGCGACCATCTATTTATTAAAAATGCTGACTGAATGCCTACAAAAAAAACTAGATTGCATCAATACTGCAACGTAATACTACAAGAAGCTGGTGGAAGCTATAGGAAAGATTCAGGAAAATTAGATCTCAGTACAATAATCTCAGATAGTTACAGATCTAAAATACGTTCTGTAGCAATCTCACAAACACAAAAATGCCAAATGTGAACGGCACCTTCAAGAATTACTTCCACTGAGTACCTTGTGAATGTGAAAAATTTTACATTAGTGAAACTAAGAGGCCACCAAATGCCTGGATTGGTGATTATAAAAAAAAACACTCGACAGCATTCACCAATAAAACACAAAGTTGTTCGAAGCTGAGGTAATCCATAAGAAGAAACACTGTTTCGAAAGGAGCAACCAAAAAAGTCTTCCAGAGACTCGTGCAAGGGGTGCTGCATCATGCATATTTCAATTTGATGCTTCGTTTTTTACAAAAATATTTTCTATGACATATATTCTTTTTGTAATTAACAATTAAATGGTAATTTGAAATCGATTGAAAATACAAATTTCCCAGATATGTCAGAGAGTAATAATTCAGAAAACGGATAAATGGATGATGATTTTTATTTTTATTAGAAACTCACTTGATGTGTTTGTTTTTGATGCTATCCTTCATTTGCTGTTCTTTAGCCTGGAGAGTATTCGGAGATAAGGGTCTGGTAAGGGGGGCATCAGTAGAATTTTTAGATATTATTATGTGGCCTTTAACAAATGGGTGACTTAAAATTTCATCCCAAGTCAGTCTTTTTAAAGGATTCTTCTGTAATAGGCCCTGCAAAAAATCAAAAGAAAGTCTTAATGGCAAGTCCGTAAATAAATAAATAAATATAAATTGACACCATGTAAAGAGTGAAGTAAATATGTACTACTATTTTAATAATAAACAAAGTGTTTTGAAAGCTCAACTAGATAAGTGTTAGTGAGCAGGAGATTCAGACACCATGTAAAGAGTGAAGTAAATATGTACTACTATTTTAATAATAAACAAATTGTTTTGAAAGCTCAACTAGATTAGTGTTAGTGAGCAGGAGATTTAGATTTTGGTTACCAGCTGAGGTAAATTTTCTTTTTTTACCCATATGGCATTGAGAAGTGGACTGAAATTATCTCGTAAATATCAGTCTGCTTGCGTTTTTACTCATTCATTATCACATCATCTCTTTCACTGTCATAGTTTTCACAAAATGTCAGGCATTTAACAGTTTATTATTCTATATTTTCAATAAGTTAGGATCAGTTAATAAAACTGAACAATTTATTATTATCATTTGTGTCACATTTTGATATTATAATCATAATCATCATACATACATCATCATAATCATAATTTCACTACAATTTCTTTGGACACTTGCTTTCAAAAATTTTAGTGAGATTATTTTGTGATTATGTGTGCTCTTGTCTATCGCTACTAAAAGTCCTTATATAATTTGCACTTACCTTCAGGAAGGACATACAGTTTTCAGAAGAAAAAGTAGGCCACTTTATTTCCTCATATCGAATAAGACGTATCAACTGCAATAAGGACTTGGTGCAGAATGGCGGTGATCCCATCAAGAGTTCATACATTATACAACCTAATGACCACAAGTCTGCATTATAGTCATAAGGTTTCTCATCAATTAGTTCTGGTGCCATATACAGGGGAGTTCCTAGAAACATCAATTTTTACTAAGAAGGTAAATGTAGTAAAACCGAGAATAATAATGTTGAGGAACAATTAGTTCTGGTGCCATATACAGGGGAGTTCCTAGAAACATCAATTTTTACTAAGAAGGTAAATGTAGTAAAACCGGGAATAATAATGTTGAGGAACACAATACCAATATATCTTGGCACAACAAGGAAGTTCATCGTCCAGATACGATGTCTATCGGACATCAGAATTAAGCCACACACACACAATTGAGTCAGCCGAATAACTTATTTTGATTTTTTGTACTTCTCATAAGCAAAAGTAATTCTTCTCAGAAATTTGGAACACTAATTCAAATTATAAAGTTAACACGACAGAAACATAATTCTTTAAATAACTCAAATTAAAACTTCTTAACGTGACAATGCCTGATGAGGAGGGCCAGCATGGCAAAATCGAAAACCACAAGAAACACAAGGTAGGTGAGAAGTTCCAATGTGAGTGTATCTACTCATCCTCTATTGCATCCCACGAGAGTTTGTTGTGACTCACACCTATTCAACCTCGACCAAATAAATTCAGTTTCATATTAAAGGCGAAAACTTTATTTGGTGAGTGATTTCTCAGGCGAGCTAGTAAGAGCGTGACTGCCAAATGATGAAAACTCAGACTGGTCTGCGGTGAGGCAAGCTCAGAAGAAAAATCATCTAAATCCCAATTGGTGGGGACCTGATAAGTCTGCAAGTAACTTCGTCAGATAGGTAAGCAACACAAATGTGTGGAAGTTCTTGCTCTTAATCTGATGTTTAAGGGAAGACAGTTGGGTTGTTTAGTCGATGTCTATCTCTTGTGTTGTGTTCATAGTCAATGAAACGTTCCACAAGTAGCTAGAGAAAGGAGGTCTATCACCACACAGCCCAACATTACCTCGACAAAGCTTTCTATTGTGAGAGAACGCCTGGTATCTCAAAGGTTGCATTAGAAATACTGAGTGGGGTTAGATTCATACATTCTTTCAACACAGATACACATACTTTGAGATAAGGCGTTACTCGAAAGGGTCCTTACTTCCACGGATGATACCTCACAAGGTAGGGGTATTCTAACGTCCACCACTGCAGGACGAAGAGATATGATGTCATTAAAATTACAAAAAGTTGCCCATTTTATAGCTCATCTGGATGATGTTTTAGTTTTCTAGTTAAAAAAGTTGACGCAAAAAACACTAACTTATACTGGGTAATTTTTATTTGTGTCCACATAAAAAATTAAAATTTGTGATGGTTGCTCAATGAAGAATGAATGGATTAATAATCTGAAGAAGCAGTATTTTACAGCTGGAAAAGTGGAAATGTGAAAGTGTTTTTTTTTATCATCATCGTTCTCTTTACTTAATTTTTATCAAGTTTTTAGCTGGCGGTACTTTTCCAAACTAATGGAAACTGAGTTATACCACACCTATCTAAACGTAAGGTAGTCATTATAAACACACATCAGCATTGAAAAATATGAGGTTTTCTAAAATGTCTGATCACCCATTTGAACTTTTTTTAACTCGTTAATTCAAGAGCAACCTAGCTAAACCTCCTAAATCGTATAGATTACCTGTGTGATGGTTTGGAGTCTGGTGATGAGGTAAATTCCATCTATACTAATTTATCCAAGTCTGAACTAAGAATTTTATTTCAACCATACTTTGAACTCGAAAATTTGTGAGAAATATTTTTAAGAAAATGTACCGTCTTTCTGGACCTTCATAGAGCACAGAAACGTTGATAAATTAAATAATTGAATAAAATCACGTCATTAAACACTTATATTTATCAATTTCTTACTAGTTATTTAAAAAAATATGATCTTGATGTTTGATTCACAGAAACTCACCTTTAATTGAAGTTAAAACATGTGTCCCTGTACTCATGTTCCTTGCAAATCCAAAATCACAAAGTTTCGCCCGATTGTTAGTGTCTAATAGTATATTTGGGGGTTTCAGATCCCTGAAAAAAAATTTCTTATATAATGACTCATGTTTAAATTTTCATTATATTGTTACTGATGAAAATTCAGCATAATTTTAAAAATACTTTTATGAGTTTTATTTCTACATTAATATAAAAAGTATATGAAAATTGAAATTGAAGAAATATCAACTACATTTACCTTGTCAGCGTTGATCTTTTAAGGTGAGAAGATGTGTAGATCATAAAAACATGGAAAACTCTATCCAAAGTAATAAATGAAATAGTGGCGGTATAATTTTCATTCACATAAATAAATGTTAATCCCAAACTGAACCTGAGATTTCCATTGAAAAAACTCAAATTCAACAGCATTCTAAAACTTCGGTCCTACTTTTAAATTACAAGTTATTCATCTAATTGAAATTTTAGGATTCTAAGTTATGCTAAGGATTCTAAGTTATGCATTCATGGTTATGCTAATCTATAACATGTTTTCATTTCAAATATGTTTCCCTCATAGAGGGGACATCTTTGGAGACTTCATTCAACATTATCAATTGGTTTTTCAATATTGTGTTGAGTTCACTGTAATTTATTCTTGATTTCTCAAATTTTTCTGTGATGGGAAAAACTGATTCATAGCTATTAATAATAATGTTTCACAAAATGTAACACATTACATCAGTGGGAAATAAAGGTTTTGGTTCTCTACTTTTCCATCTTTATACAAAAAAATGTGGGAATCTTCTAAAGGAAGGAAGCTATCAATTTAAAAAAAGATACCTCTATACAAAGATGTGTAGATCATGCAAAGGATTAAGTTTACAAATCAATATTTCTAGAATGTCCTCAAAATATGAATGAGATCAAATTCGTTTGTTTCCATTAGTAATTATTTTTTATATAGTTGCCTTCCATAGTTGGCAGTAGCAGTTGTTATCCTAGTAAAATCTTTTATCTGCTGGTATAGACAATAAGTCAGGTTCAATAGATATTTATCATTTTCTTTTGTTGAAATACCACAGAATTACAATTTCCTTGTTTGGGGATATTTTATCTATGAATAATTCAATTTTTTCCAAAAAACTGATTTGATCACTATTGAGTGATCCACACAGATGAGCTAGAGTCAACTTTTTCTTGATAAAATTCAAGAACACATTAATTTCAGTGGTTCAAATTCCAAACCTTTCTTAAAATAAATGGCAATAAATATTTACTTCTGGTAAAATGTTCATATTTGACAAAAACAAAGAACATCAAAATTATTTTCAAAAAAAAGGCTTGTAACTATCGAACAAGAATAGCCTTGTTATTGATTCATTTTAAGTTGAATATATTACCCTACCATGAAGAAACTGTTGATTATTATCAATAATTAGGTAATTGATATTCACTTATGTACTTTTGCTATTCCGGTTTAATGTCCAATTGTCTTTTTTTCTATCATACCATCAATGTTATAAAATGTAATTATAAAATGGCAGGTACAATAAAATAGTAACTCGGCCATTACTTGATGAAGATCCAGAGTAATTTCACAAACTACATCCAACGATTTGTCAAGTTTGTGAAGATCAAATCGTTAGATGTAGTTTGTGTAAAATAAGTACAAAAAATTGATTTTAATACACGATTTACATGAATGTTAAGGAAACAAAATGTTGATACTTTGTAGTTTACAAATCAATATTTCTAAGAATCTCCCCAAAAATATGAATGGGATCAAACTGAGTCTTGTTTTCATTAATAACTATTTCTGATATAAGATGGTGTCTTCATAATAAAATATCAACTTTCTAGATGTTATATTTAGGAAGGTAGTATGTTGGTGACCTCACACAACTACAATACTCCATAAGTTATCTTACTAATGCACACTATCTTTATGGAATTATTGTGGATGAAGTCTTTATAGCCCTGCATATAAAACCCAATATTTTAATTACTTTACTAGATATCTCTCTGTGAATTTGATTTCCTTACCTATGTAAAATTCTGTTAGAATGTAAATAATACAAAGCGGACACAAGATCCCAAACAATTTTTTGAACTCGATCCTCAGTCAGAAAACCTGTTTTTGCAAACTCAGTAGATAGGGTCTTTTGAGCAAACTCAGTAATCACTACAATCTGAAAAATATGTTTGTAAAATGAAAGTCGTCTCAAATAATTTATGAAGTTCAAGTTGACATTTACCTCATTTTCAGTCTCAAATGAATCCAACATCCTGATAACATTTGGATGATGCAGATGCCTTTGAATTTCACATTCTCTTCGGAATCCCTTCAATTCTTTGGCAGATCTCCCTCTCTAAAATCAAGACCCTTGTAAAAATAAATACTGAGTTAGGATTATAAATACCTCACCTTACTTATTACTTTCAGTGCAACAAACGTGTCATCTGATAACTGTTTTGCCTTATAAACCCTTCCAAATGAACCTTCTCCCAAAGTTCTGATAACTTCATACTTATCCATTATTTTATTTATATAATGACTGTTTTGCAATTAATACTTGAATGGAGGCTGGTTCATAAGTAGGTATACTTACAGAGATAAGTCTCAATAATTTGAAAAAAAATCTGTAACCATAAGTCCAGCAATAAATGACTACTGTGCAGCAATTGATCAAGTCAAAAAGAATTTTATTTTAATATAATCTCTCAAATTTTATTTCATTTCATTAATTTTTTCTTTGAAAAACACTTCTTCGGAGATCCCATAAAGAAGTAATATTTTACTGTATTACTGTATATTTTTGTTTTACAACCAAAGAATACAGGTAATTGGTGTCTTAGTGTACTGTTTGTTTACAACTACAACCACAACTGTCAAGGTCTTCTTCCTCTTCGTCTTGTTTTTGATTCCAGCTTCCAAGTTGACGCTATTATGACTCAACGATTATGGACATACAGGATTGCTTACTTACATATATCGCCACGTTAAACAAGCGATGAGCAGATGTGACATAACACTGGTGATACTTTTAGTAGCTGCCATAAGACTGTGTGTTATTTTAACATTTTTTGAGGATTATTTTCGGACAGTTATAGATTGTTTTTGTTTATTTTGGTTGAATTTTTATTTAACTATACCAATTAGGTTTCTGAAACATTGAGTTTGTTATTGTGAAAGTCGTATTTTTTTGTGCTTTTGGACATTTTTTAAACTGGTGTAACGAGTAGACGCCGTATAAGATTCTGTTATTTTCTTCTGTTTTGAGGTTTGTTTTTTGCCATTGTGGAACTTTTTTGTTTTTTAAACATTTTCAAATTAAATTAAGGTAAAAATTGGAAATATTCACATTTTAGTGAATCTGTTTTAAAAAAAATTCTGTTTTTCCGTTAATCAGCTGTCGCCCCCATACGAACGACAACTCTCAGAAGTTGAGAAACTTGTGCGAGCTAAGGACTAACGAAGTCTTACCTTTCAACGTGTGATTCCTAATAGCAATAATTGTCTCACCATTGAATAACCTTGTAATTTTTAGTTAAAATGCCTGGTCGTATTTGTGCAGTGTCAACTTGCAAAAGCAATCAGTTGACTTTGAAGAAAAGTGATGTTACTGATGTAATATTTCACCGTTTTCTTATTGCTGAGGATATGGTTTCCATAAATTTGCGAAAAGAATGGATTCGTCGCTGCAAAAGAGGGGACAAATTCACTCTCAAAAATGGATTTGTTTGTTCCAAACATTTTACACAAAATGATTATGAACGAGACTTTGAAAATGAATTGTCAGGTAAAAATTATTCTATTAATTTCCTGTAAGGTAAAACCTCGCACAAGTTTCGACTTTTGAGAGTTGTTCGTAGGGAAGCAACAGCTGATCAAAGGAAAAAAAATATTTTGAACAGAGTAGAATTATGTCCCGTTTTCATCGTAATGATAATTGTATTAAACCTCCTAGTCATATTCTCCTACATATAAAATCATCTATATTTTTCCAAATATTCTCTGTGAATTTGGAATATATTAAAGCTCCTAATTTTTCAATTGATTTCTGAATTTCAATTGTATCTTATGTTCAGTGTAGGTTGAATTATTATTATAATGAAATACAAATCATTAAATTATAAAACAACAATGAAAATTATTTGGCGCTTCGGGACGACTTCAGTGATTCCAGTGGCGCATCTGCTTTTTTTTCAATCATTTCGAGAGTTTATTTCGAACTGTCAATGTCAAAATCATTACGAGCATTTCCAGAGTTCGAATACCACCCTGCCTCATTTAGGTAAAAGGCCAAAGTAAGGAGAAGAAGAAGAAGAATGTTGATATTTGGCAGTTTTGGTTATGTACTTATTTTTTTTGTATTTAGTGTTTTATAGATTTTTAGTATATTATCTATTATCATTATGTCCCAGGAGTTAAATCCCCGGGAAGTGTTAAGTTATTTAAATGAACTAGGATATGTTAACATAACTGCTCAACAATTGAAAGAATTTATAAAAGGTAGATACAAAAACATTTAAAGATGTCATTTGATACAGATGTTTTCAGATCTTAAGAAACTCATAAAATATGAATCCAGGTGTGAAGGCAGCCCGTTATTTGCTCGAAACTTCTCTAGCGATTTTCAGAATAACCAAGATACAGCAGAATATAATAAGAAGACTCCAGAGTATGATATATTTCACGCTCTTCACGACCACAATACAATAGCATCCAAGGCTAGAACAGAAAGTCGAAAGGGAAAGCAAATATCAGTTCACATAGGACAAGCAAGAAGTTCGAAAAAGTTACATGATCATTGTGTACATGTTAACACAATTGAAAATGAGTTTGTCAGTGAACCAGTTTACAAGGAATCAGTTGACAGTGAGCCAGTACTTAACAAAAATGAAGATACCAATACAGATTTGCCTAAAAACGAGGTTAAAACTGAAGTTTCCAGCATGCAAATCACTAATCCTACTTCAAAAGAAACTATTAGTTCTGCCCCTATTAAACCCAAGAAATCCGGAAAATCAGGTTTGTAGATTTGTATTTATATTTTCAAAGTGAAGATAATTGAAAAAACATAGCTTTCATTTTTTGACTCAGACCTCCTCTAATATGGCCAACAAGCAATAACAAAAACTCTGATGAAGCAAAGATATCCCTTGAAACATGATGTCAAAAAAGGGTTATTTTGTTGAAACATTTGAAATGGGTAAATAAAACATGCAATACGCTCCTGACATGTTGAGTTTTTTTATCAAGAGAATTATGTATCTAATAAAAAAATTTACAAAAGCTGAGAACTTTACAATAAGAAAATTTTTCTTAACTGAATCAGAAACATTATCGGATACAGATTAAGTACCTATAGATATTTAACCAGTGAGTTCCTAGATTACACTCTTGAATAATTTCTTATTGTGGTAACTATTTGCAGGTGTAGTTAATACGAATCCATTTAAACTACACTTTCTTTATGATCTTCAATTGTGGATATCTTGTTTTCCTTTGAGCTCCTGATTTGGTAGATGTGATCTTCTTTTCTAACAGAAAAAAATTGATAGCAGAAGCTAATTTAACTTTTTGTCTTTTCAGTTATCCGAGTAGGTTCAGCTAAGTCCATAAACAGATGTGATCCAGTGGCTTTATATCATCAATACAAAGAAGAATGGAAAAAAATCAAGTTTCCAGGACAAGATCATCATTCTGATTTGAGATGGGCAGTAAGGGAGAAACTTTTATCTGTCCCCCCTGTACAAGTACCTTTAAGAAGAACTAGCAGTAAGAGAAAAATGTGACTAGATTGTATTATACCATTTTTTGGACAAAGTAAAACTATATTCAGAAATTTCAGCCTTGTTCAATGTTGTAGTTTAATAACATCAATAGTGAAAGAAGTGAATAAAAAATTGAGAATGAAGAAGACGAAAAAGTATCAAATGAAATACCGAGAAGAATGTGTATTCATATTTTGGAATTTCATAACTTGAATTGTTAATGTTTTGAAGATTTAGTAACTTCATATCTAGATGCATGACATTGGAATATGCTTCCATTATGTTTTTTAATTGTAGTATAGGAAATGAACACTGATGTCAACATTTGGCCATTATTCATAAAAGTTGGTACAGGGATTTGTTTGTGGATTAGAAACATGGATCTGATGAATTCCCAAAAGATGATAGTATATTATTTATTGAATGAGAACTTGGCCTATACTCATGAGAATTAAGTTATTCAATGCGAGCGAAGTAATGACCTTGTCTTGTGAGTACTCGCGAGTAGAATACAGGTAATGGTAATGTCATTAAATTTCATAGCAAGAAAAAAATCAAGAGGATGGAAAAAAATAAATTAAAAAACTGCAGTTGGTGTGACCTGAACAACAATCATTGATTGACAAGCACAGTAAAACCACTGCTCTACCAAACTTCTTAAAAATTTTAGTGTGATAAAGTTATTTGAGTTTGTATTTTCATTTTGTTATTAAGTGACGAACTTTTGAAAAATATATTTCTTACTCAAATTGTAACAGGTATAATATTAGAAAAGATTAATTTTTGGCTAAGAAAGGTTTTGGCTATCTACTTCTCCATCTCTATATAAAAAATGTGTGTATCTTCCAAAGAAAGGAAGAAAGCAATTCATATCAAAATGTTTCTGAAAGAAGTAACTTTCAGACACAAACTGAAAAAAAGCTTTAGGCATTTAGTTTGAAATAAAATGAAACTTGTTACACATGAATATTAATAGATAGATAGATAGATTGTTATGTACAGAAAATACATTTATGATGAATCACAGTTGAAAAATTTCAGAGATGAAAACCACTATACTTTTATATGACCTTTTGGACCACCTTGGATACATATAACGCCTTTCTTTCATTTCATTATTTTGTTCATATCTTCTCATGTGAGCTTTGTGAACAAGAATTTTTCTTCAGGCAATAAAGTATATTAATCTTCATTGTTTGACAGTGGTTGACAATGTTTCTTGGTGAATGTTACCGGTTCGGACTTCCATACTTTGAATCACCAGACGGAAATTTCTTGTATAAATAATTCAAAAAATGTAATAACGCTAATTTGTAAAGCAAATAGCGAAACGCGTCTATAAATTAAAATGTTTGTTGAAAGTGTGTAATTGTTATCATGGATAGTGTTATTAATTTTCATCAAGTTACGGGTTAGTTCATTCATAAATAAATTATTATGACCTGAAATAAAAATTAATTAACAAATATGTTAATGACAATAATCGTAATGTCAGATATATACAAACAACAATAATGAAATGAATATAAAGTAAAATAATATAAATGTGCAACACATGCCATATTTTTCCACTTGATTAGTGGTTTCCATACCTTGTGTTTCTCCACACTAGCAGGCTAAGTGCGCCCTTGTTCAACATGCACGTAGCTCCTTTAAACTTCATGCACATACCTTCTTTAAACTTCATGTGTGTTCTTCCATGTAGTTGATTTTAGCTTTGAAGCACTTGATGTTATGTTGGTAAGTCCAAACGTGCCCCTCTCCCAATTTACTGATTCTTCCCGCCGGGTATATTTGGCTTCACCGCACTAGTACTCGTATTTCATTCAATACATGTATTGGTTTATTCTTTTGAGAGACTGCTACTAATGGAGTTTCCAAATTTGAAGCCGGTTCTAATATTGTTCTTAGACCCATTTTTTTACACTTTCCGACAATTTTCTGACGTGAGGAAAAGATAACACTGGTATTATGACGTCTTTTCATGTTGTCTTCTAGTTAAAGTCTGTTTCATTAGCCTTTGGCAGTAATTATTCTGCAGAAGATATCCTTGTCAAGACATTCCTTCATGTTACAGAAAATCTGAATGCAAGAATAATTAGGATCTTAAAGATTCCTCTTGTGGTTACTTCGTGGTGGCTGGATTTGTAATTCAAATATTGTCCCGTGAGTTGTTTTCCACTTGTTGTCGGTACCTACTCTTCACCATTACGTCTAGAAAAGACAATTTATTGTGGACTTCCTTCTTCATTGTAAATGTTACGGAAGGTTTCACGCTGTTAAGGTGCCGCAAAAAGGTGTCCAATTGGGTGTCTCTATGGTTTCATACCATGAACTAGAATCGGTGCTTCTTGTGGGACTCTTCATTAGCCAGCGTTTCAAACCATTCGATATACATGCGTTATAACCAGTGTAAGAGGCGATCCCATTAACAGTCTCTCATCTTGCGTCTCTCGATTGGAAGTAATAGTTTCGGAAACAGCATCCTAGTAATTGCATGACGACCAAAATTTGGTAACATTCTTCGATCTGTTAACTCATCGTCTTCTGATAGCTTCCCTGTATGATTTAAAGTGCTTTTACAACAGGAACGTTAGTATACAGGCTTTGTACGGCCGATTGAATTCTTCGCAAAAACACAGTAGTTTCCTGTAGAGAGTGAATGAATTGAAGTAGGATTGAATCTGAGTTGTTAGCGAATGTGGAATATTTTTTCATGGGTCTATTATTAATGTCAAGTTCTCTGTAACTTGTTAACCCTAATTGCTGAAGAGAATCGTGTTTCATAGATAAATCTTCATCAACAAAGATTAGAATGCAGGTGTTTATGACTTTTATAATTTCTGAGAGTGAAAGCGAAGACAACATCAACATCGGATGAATCAGATCGGATAGATTAGTTTAATCTTTGATTTTGTTCAAACTTAAAATGTATTCAAACGGAGGGCATTTTCTTTGAAATATTAAAGAGTGGTTTTTAAATAAGGAAATCAAGCGGTAATGACCTTCAACAAGGCAAAACGTACAAGACTCGGAAGAGGACTGAGGTATATATCAAGCCAACCTCAGAGAGTTCAAAAAATTATGCAGGCAAAAACAAAGAGAAGTCTTGAGATCCTATTGTGAGGCAGGCGAAGACTTTCCACTAGCTTCTAGGCTACAGAAGGCACTCTCAAATGACCACCATAAGGGTATCGGCCTTCTGACGAGGGATAATGGCGACAACGCCGCCAACCTCCAAGAGAGTGTTGAGATTCTTATGAAATGACGAACTGGACGGAAGTACCAACAACACCCTCACAATACGATTGGCAATCTGCAGTAATTGATGAGGACAAGATAAGATGGGCCATATCGGGCTTTTCCCCCCTCAACTCACCAGGACCTGACGGTATAAGACCAACCCTACTTCAATGGGGATTGGATATTTTTATGCCGCACCTGGTTGGAATATTCAGAGCCTCTCTAGCTCTGAGGTATATTCCCAGTAAACGGAGAGAAGTACGAGTAGTATTTACACCCAAACCAGGTAGGATGGACTACACATTACCAAAAGCGCAAAAACAGTCCGATTAATGGCGTGGATTCGTCGTTTTGTTCACAACGTCAAAAATTCATCTCTTAAGAAGAAAGATTGTTTGAGCGTTGCAGAATTAGATAAAGCTGAAATATTGATTATCCGTTATATTCAGAATGAAAGTTTTAGTGGTCCGAATTATAACAAACTCAACTCTCTATGTCCATTCAAAAACGATCAAGGTATTATTCATCTCAAGAGCAGAATTTCGCGAAGAGAGGACACAACAGATTTTCGATTTCCCATTGTACTTCCTGCGAAACACTTTTTAGTTGAGAGACTCATTTTTGATACACACGTGCGGTTGTGACATATACCGAAGGACTATTGAGTAACCTACGAGAAAGATACTGATGGATACTTGGTGGTCGTAGAGCAATTCGATCTGTCACGAAAATATGCGTCATTTGTCGGCGATATAACGCCAAAAACTTTTAAAATCCAACTCCTCCGCTTCCATTAGACATAGTGCGGGATGCAAGTGCATTTGAGATCACGGGTGTTGACTTTGCTGGACCGCTTTATCTAAAATCGGGCGAAAAGGCGTGGATTTGTCTATTCACGTGTGCGGTATACCGTGCTTTTCATTTGGAACTGGCTACTACTCTTTCCACCCACGGATTCATTCAAGTTCTAAGGCGGTTCGTGGCGCAACGTGGTCGTCCTAAGACAATATACAGTGATAACGGGACCAACTTTGTGGGCGCTGAAAACGCATTCAATCGCATAGATTGGAAGGTTATTACAGACCATGCTACCATGGAGCAAATTTCTTGGAAATTCAATCCCCCTACAGCAGCTTGGTGGGGTGGTTTTGGGAACGGCTTATAGGGATGTTGAAACAGCTACTCAAGCGTGTACTTGGTCGTTCTTCCTTGAGTTATGAAGATTTGATGACTATAATTTGTGATTGTGAGGCAACGGTCAATTCAAGGCCCCTCACTTACCTAGCTGATGATCCGCATGATTTAACTCCCTCAACACATGTTTCTTCGTGACCTATCACAGCACGAAGTACCTGAGTGCGATGCTGTAGAAACAAATTCTCTCAATAAGAAGCACACAAACAAAAGTTACTATAGAATTTGAGATACGTTTTCGAAACGAATATTTAGGACAATTGAAGCTAATGAAGAACCAAAAACGATTGCGACAAGTCGAACTTGGAGAAATAGTCCTAGTTGGAAACGAAAATGATGAACGCCTTGTTTGGCGTTTGGGGCGTATCACCAAACTCATTCCAGGCAGAGATGGCAAGATTTGTTTGATGCAGGTCAAAACATCAAAAGGAACCCTGCTGAGGCCTATTCAACGAATTTATCCGTTGGAATGTATCTATGCCATCGCAGGCACCAATAATCTACGAGATGCAGCATCGTCCAATGAGGAGTATGCAATGAATCAAGTAGACTTGCAGGTTCCTGATATTTTATCTTCAAGAGATGAAAACATCAGTGCGGGAGTGTTGGATGTCAATTTATGAGATCAAAAGCAGAGCAACCGTAAGTGGAAGTGCGGGTTCCTGTGTTAGTGGATCCGATACACCAAACAGTGTGAAAATT